GTATTTTGTGTTAGTGGGCTTTGCAAGGAATATAACTCCTTCAAAAAAGAACAGGCCAGTCTTACAGTAAAAACTGACAGGAAATTCAACAAGATTGCGTTTGTGTTAGTGGGATTGGACCTTCGTTCTTTCCTTTAATTTTTTGACAAGAAAGAACGGATAAGGAAAGAATTACAGGAAAGAACGCTGGTGTATGAGTACCTATTCCTATTTTTGACGGTATTAATATAGAGAATATCGATTTATACAGGGTTGTTCACCACATACGACACGGAGTATTGTAGCTAAACGACAAGATTTTTACAAATTGTAAGTTTTGGGTTCGTTGAAGGACTATTAGAGCTACAATTTAAAAATATTTTTACAAGATACAGAGTGTTCCAAATAAATAAAAAAATATCAAAGTTGTATTTTTTTAAATGGAACACCCTGTATATTATTACATTTTTAGTTTCTACGATTAAAATAAAGGTAAATTTGCTTAAGGTTTATTACACTTAAACCTTACCGTTTTTGAAATATTTTCAATTTTGTGAAATTGCAGTATAAATTTTAAGGCTTCATTTCTCCGAGGGTATCAAAGTTTTTAATACTAAATATTTACTGAAGTTTATTTATTGGTCAGTTATTGTGCTGCAATAATAAAAACTTTATTACCTTATACAGAGTGTCTAAAAATTTATTTTAAATAATTACTAGCTTTAAACGGCAATAACTTGTTTGATCTAAATTGAACACCCTGTATATTTGATGAGAATCAGATGCACAATTTAATTGTCTATCAAATTGTGTTATACCGTTTTTTACCTATCTCTTCAAGTTTCCGTAGAAAATGCATTTTCTTGTAATTTAGAACTCATTTATCAATATACCCATGGAATACTGACATTTTAGATTATTTTTAAAGATGTACCAAATTTTTAAAGAGTACAGATACTAATATTGTCGATATAGGTCGTTTAGTTCATTAAAAAATAAAAAAAACTGTTTAAATATTTGTTAAAGAGGACCAAAATATGATTCCAGTATTCAAACTACATTAATTGACTGTTCGCGTTGATTAATAATAATTGCTTCAAATACTAAAAAGCTGAATTATGTATGTGTATTAGACAGTGTGGTAAAAAGTAACACCTTAAAAATGGTATTTAATTTTTTGACAAATGCTTAATTATAACAACAGATACGTTCATTTTCACAACTTATTATTATATTGATTTCTGATTCAAATCCACATTTATTTAGAATAATTTTTTAACGAGTACAATTAAGTATGTAGTTAATTAGTATTTGGGCGAAAATACTGATGGTTTATTTAATTAATGGTATACTCTTTTATAAAGATTTAAATAGTTTTCTTTTTGCATACAAATGGCGTAGTAATATTATCGTTTTACTAAAAACGATAATATTACTAGCCTGTACATTTTGTACATTTGTTGTTTTAAAAACAATCTAAAATGTCAATATTCCATGGGTATATTGATAAATGAGGTCTAAATTATAAAAAATGCATTTTCTACGAAAACTTGAAGGAATAGGTAAGAAGTGGTGTAACACAATTTGATAGACCGTTAAATTGTGCATCTGATTCTCATAAAATATACAGGGTGTTCTATTTAAAGTAAATAAGTTATTGCCGTTTAAAGCTAGTAATTATTTAAAATAAATTTTTAGACACGTTGTATAAGGTAGTATAATTTTTATTATTGCAACACAATAACTGATCAATAATAATCTTCAGTAAATATTTAGTATTAAAAACTTTGATATCCTCGGAGAAATGAAGCCTTAAAATTTATACTGCAATTTCGCAAAATTGAAAATATTTCAAAAACGGTAAGGTTTAAGTGTAATAAACCTTAATCAAATTTACCTTTATTTTAATCGTAGAAACTAAAAATGCAATAATATACAGGGTGTTCCATTTAAGAAAATACAACTTTGATATTTTTTATTTATTTGGGACACTCTGTATCTTGTAAAAATATTTTTAAATTGTAGCTCTAATAGTCCTTCAACGAACCCAAAACTTACAATTTGTAAAAATCTAATCGTTTAGCTACAATACCCCGTGTCGTATGTGGTGGACAACCCTGTATATTTATAAAAAATGAACATTAATTTCTAAAGAGTTACCAACATAGTAAAGCCTTTTTTATCGGCCAATACATTTACTTTATGCGAAAAAAAAATATTAATTATTATTTTTTTTAAATTAATTAAATCAAATTGTTTAAGTCATATTTTCAAAAGTCAATAACTCGGAAACTGTTGGTTTGAGGCACATTGTGTGTATTTCAGTTTTTGCTTAGAATTGAAAGAAGAACCGAAATATGCATTAATATACAGGGGGTTCCATTTAAAAAATGAAACTTTGATGTGACACGATGACACGACTTTATGATCGACCCTGTATACTTAAATTTATTACCCCCTAATAGATATTTATAAACCCTATAACTTTTTTTTTACTTTTTGCGATACCGGCTATATTTTACATAATAATCGACCATTTCCATACATAACAGCGACCCTGTATACAGGGTGAGTTTCCTACGATGTTCTCTATGGGTATCTCGGAAACTACTGGAGATAGAGAGTCGGTTAAATGGGGAAAGAATTGCAGTTTTGTGGGGTCATAAATATTCGCCTTTCAGATTTTTGAAAAAGTTCATGCATGGCTTACTAGATATTTCGAAAAAAACAAATTTCGGCTATTTTAAAAATTGTCCCTAATACCATTATAAGCTATTTTAGACAAAAAGTTTTCAGATAAAAGTTGTAGATAATCACATCCTTAATGAGACCGTGTCCTCCGTTTTTTTCTAAAGCCTGTCATTTTTGATATATGACACAAACATATGTTTTTTTAAATGGAAACCATAGTTGGCCATGACTTCTTTTAGCGATATAAGCTATAATATGTTTTCTTCGAAAAATTACTGAGTTATAGCCAATTCTTATTATTTTTAAACAATTTCACTTAGTTAGCCATGGAAACAAGTTTAATCGTCTTTGCTCTCATAAATGTGAAGCTGTCACATCCAATCTTTGTAAATTAAAATAAACAAAAATTGTAAATATGAATTTTTCAAATGAAGAAAAGCGTGTAGGATTATTGGTTCAATCTTTCTTGGCCATACATTTTCGAGAATACGTTGACCGGTGAATGTTACGTATTTTAGAGAACGGTTTTCAAGACATGTTGGAAAAGTTAAATTTAGTTATAGCCAATTCTTATCTTTCTTGACTAATTTCACTTAGATTGCATGGTATTCTTATTCTGTTATGATTTATAACTTATAAAAAGTCAGAATATATTACTAAACGGTTCTTTACAATTTACATTACACAAACTAAAACTTAAAAATAAATCACTACATACATTTTAAGTTATTTTAGAAAATGTTCAAAAAATCCGCCATTGTTTTGAGTTGCATCTTTTTAAAATTGAATTACTACCTATTCTCACAGAAGGACCGGTCGACTTAATTAAACTTCTCTCGTACTGCCAGTTCCAGTGCCTCTCTTAATTCATAAGTTCTTTTGTAAACCCTTATTGTTAACTATACCGCATAAAAAATTCTAAAATGGATAGGTCAGGTGATCGAGGAGGCCCATGCAATTAGTCCACCTCTCCCTATCCCTGCGTTTGTATAATTATGATATAAATAATTTTTAAAATTTCTTTTTTTTATATTATTATATTTTTAACATTATGAAGGGTGGGGGGTGGTGTGTCATACTGAAAGTCATGTTGGAACTACTCTATTGATGCGCGAGTATCTACACGCTTTTCTTCATTTGAAAAATTCATATTTACAATTTTTGTTTATTATAATTTACAAAGTTTGGATGTGACAGCTTAGCATTTCTGAGAGCAACGGCGATTGAACTTGTTTCCATGGCTAACTAAGTGAAATTGTTTAAAAATGATAAGAATTGGCTATAACTCAATAATTTTTCGAAGAAAACATATTATACCTTATATCACTAAAAAGCTTAAAAAATGGCGCTTTTTATGAAGTCATGGCCTACTACGATTTCCATTTAAAAAAAAACATATGTTTGTGTCATATATCAAAAATGACAGGCTTCAGAAAAAAACGGAGGACACGGTCTCATTAAGGATGTGATTATCTACAACTTTTATCTGAAAACTTTTTGTCTAAAATAGCTTATAATGGAATTAGAGATAATTTTTAAAATAGCCAAAATTTGTTTTTTTTCGAAATACCTAGTAAGCCATGAAATTTTTCAAAAATCTGAAAGGCGAATATTTATGACCCCCCAAAACTGCAATTCTTTCCCCATTTAACCGACTCTCTTCAGTAGTTTCCGAGATACCCATAGAGAACATTGTAGGAAACTCACCCTGTATATTTGTGTATTTAAATACTGTTTGTTTATTGTACCCAGTGAACTTATTTTGATTCTAAAAATATGTAGTAGTTTTATGTTCACAGAATATTGGGACACCCTATAGACAGCGTGATTTTTAACCTATACGCATAAACTTCCGAAATTATTGCTGATGATAATAATGATTAATAATAAAAAAAAATGTTAGTAAAATATTTTTAGATTCTGAAATAATTTGAGTTTTTTTTTCATTATTTTAATTTTTTTCTTTAGTTTTTTTTCATTATTTTTTTATTTTTTTTAGTTTTTTTTTCATTAACTTTTTTTTTCATTATTAGTCATTATTTGTCATCAGCAATAATTTCTCAAGTTTATGCGTATAGGTTAAAAATCACCCTGTATATTTGCACTTATTTAAGACTCACCCTGTATAGGAACATCAATAAAAGTTGGTTGTATTAGTTAAAATATAATTAGTGGAAATAGTTAAAAGTTTGTTAACTTTTTCTACTAATTGAAAATTTATTAATTTCGAGCGGTTCTGAATGAATCTGTATTCTTAGACTTTAAAACTTACTGAAAAATTATTACCATAACACACTATAAACTGCAATAATTTTCTCTCTGTTTCCCAGGTGGATTGCGACTATCCGGCAACCGGTTCCGCTGCGGCTGCCACCTCGCCTGGCTCGGCCACTGGCTGCGCCGCTGGACCAGGGAGTCCCTCCAGGCCCACAGCGTCCCCCTGGAGTCCTCCCTCAAGGTGCATCGCGCAGCCAAGGAGGCCACGTGCTGGGACTCCACGTCCGAGCGGCACGTGCCCATCGTCAAGCTGCCCTCGATGTACATGAGCTGTCCGGCCAGCGCGCTGAGCAGCGGTTGCTCGAACAATGGCCGCGAATCGAAATCTGTGATACTAGTTTTAGTGGGGTTGGCGATGACTTATTTTAGTACTAACTTACGTATTGTTTGTTACTGAACTTGTGGGTTTATGGTGGACTAAAGTTTGGAAGTGTCTTAAAAAGGATGTGACTGAAATGAAGGGGGTTAGGACCAGTGATATAATTTGTGCTGGATTAAATCAATTTCTTGTGATCTCGATTTATTAAAACTAGATGAATTTTTAGGATATGTTGAAGGTGGACTAGGGTGGATGATGATAGTGTTATTGGAACAAATAAATAATTTAAAAAAACTGTGTGTTTTCAATAAAAAAAATCGATTCCTATATTAAAACAAAACGTATGAAGTAAAACTTCTTACTAACAGCTATTAAATTGAAGGATGTGAATTACATGTTTGAAAAAATGCCATAAAATGATGTTCTAATACACACACCGGAAAAATCTAGGGATATCATTTTATTAAAGTTAAAAATAAATGTTTTGAATAAACAACCACATATTTGTAGGCCGATTCTTTCTACTTCGATTGAAACGAAGTAGTCGCACTAGTTATTTCTAAATTTGGGATATTTGCAGAAGTGTTCTTTTTTGGGATTTTTGCAGAAGCACCTAGCATCAATTGTTCGAATTTAACCTGTACTGGCTATGTTTTTATTATCACTGGCCAGAATTCATTCAAATAACTCTGTTTAGTATTGAACGACATTATGGAGCGTAGACATCTTAACAGAGACGAAATGCTAAGGGCCATGGGTACGCTCGAAGCTGGAATGCGCCAAATCGACGTAGCTAGAGTATTAAATAAAACGCAAAGTGTAATATCGCGATTAAGTGCACGCTACCGTGAAAGTGGTGATGTTGCTGAAAGGCACACAGGGCGACATCGCATTACTACCCCTCAGCAAGATCATTTTTTATAATTAATTGCTCGACAACGACCGACTCTTACAGCACCAGAGCTTAGTTTAATTCTCCAGGAAACACATAATGTAACCGTTAGTCCTGACACTGTTCGCAATAGATTAAGAGAGGTCAACTTAAGAAGCAGACGTCCCTGGAGAGCTAAACACTTAACGAGAGGAAATCGAGAGGTACGATATTTGTGGGCTCAAGATCATGTTCAGTGGTCGAATGAACAATGGGCCAATGTTCTCTTCAAGGATGAGTCACACTTTGGAATTCATCCGGATTCGAGAAGGCTTAGGGTATGGAGAGAACCGGGAAATCATATTCGGTTGGATCATGTTCAGGAAGTGCACCCTTATCAAGGTGGAACAGTTATGGTCTGGGGAGGAGTCCAGTTAGGCCGAAAAACCGATCTCGTTTTTCTTGAAAGGTTTCTAACAGGAATTTCGTGATTTAATTCTTGAGCCTGTCGTGTTACTACTTAATTTTTGCATTTCTGATATAATAAAATTAAAATAAACAAATAGTTTACAGGACGTATTGAAAGTAAAAATGCGAAATTTACCGATTTTTTCAAATTTACCTTGATTTTTATTGAACTTAAAAAAACACACATTTTTTTTATTCTAAACTGTGAATAAAAAAAAAGATAAAACCAATTTTACTTAATAAAGGGTATGGCCTCCTCTATTGTTCATTACAGCCCTACATCGTCTCTCCATGCTCCTGATCAGGTTGTCGATCTCTTCTTGAGCTACAGCCTGCCACGCTGCATTCACGGTCCGAACCAGATCCCTACGAGTTTCACGAAGCAGAATGCTCGATGGGGTTGAGGTCAGGAGATTGTGCCGGCCAGGGTAAGATGTTTAATTGATGAGCATTGATAAACTCACTTACCACTCTGGCTGTGAGGCCGTGCATTGTCATGCATGAGAATGAAGTTTCTCCCGAAATCATTGGCATATGGTAACACGACAGGCTCAAGAATTAAATCACGATATGTGATTCCTGTTAGAAACCTTTCAAGAAAAACGAGATCGGTTTTTCGGCCTAACTGGACTCCTCCCCAGACCATAACTGTTCCACCTTGATAAGGGTGCACTTCCTGAACATGATCCAACCGAATAAGATTTCCCGGTTCTCTCCATACCCTAAGCCTTCTCGAATCCGGATGAATTTCCGGAAGCGTGACTCATCCGTGAAGAGAACATTGGCCCATTGTTCATTCGACCACTGAACATGATCTTGAGCCCACAAATATCGTACCTCTCGATTTCCTCTCGTTAAGTGTTTAGCTCTCCAGGGACGTCTGCTTCTTAAGTTGACCTCTCTTAATCTATTGCGAACAGTGTCAGGACTAACGGTTACATTATGTGTTTCCTGGAGAATTAAACTAAGCTCTGGTGCTGTAAGAGTCGGTCGTTGTCGAGCAATTAATTGTAAAAAATAATCTTGCTGAGGGGTAGTAATGCGATGTCGCCCTGTGTGACTTTCAGCAACATCACCACTTTCACGGTAGCGTGCACTTAATCGCGATATTACACTTTGCGTTGCATTTAATGCTCTAACTACGTCGATTTCGCGCATTCCAGCTTCGAGCATACCCATGGCCCTTAGTATTTCGTCTCTGTTAAGATGTCTACGCTCCATAATGTCGTTTAATACTAAACAGAGTTATTTGAATGAATTCTGGCCAGTTATCATGAAAACATAGCCAGTACAGGTTAAATTCGAACAATTGATGCTATGTGCTTTTTATAAATTTGACAAAAAATGCACAAACATTTCTGCAAATATCCCAAATTTAGAAATAACTAGTGTGACTACTTCGTTTCAATCGAAGTAGAAAGAATCGGCCTACAAATATGTGGTTGTTTATTCAAAACATTTATTTTTAACTTTAATAAAATGATATCCCTAGATTTTTCCGGAGTGTGTATATTAAAAAATTACTGCTATTTTATTTTTGTGATGACAATTAAAACCTATTTTTATTTGCCTTTTTATTCGAGATGTTAGTTATTTTTTATACAAGACGATAAAATTGTATTTTATCGTCAACCGAAAACTGGCGATTTCATCGCTCGTGAATTAATTTCGGGAGACGATAATGCAATTTTATCGTCGTGTATAAAACAATATTTTTTTTGCATAGCGAGTTACGTTTTAACAAAAATTCAGAAATTATTATTTCAAGGAATTTATTACGAGTAAAAAAAATATTGTACTGGATTTGGCGTTGATTTCTATGTAATTTGACAAATAAAAATAAATAAAGCTGTCTCTTTAGTTGTCAGTTTTGAGTCAATATTTTTTAATTCTCTTTTATGTCGATTGCTGATTGAATTGGAGCCAGAAATGGCTCAAAACGAAATAAGTAAATTACGAACAGATATTCAGGCTGGGGCGACACACGCCATATCCAAACTACTTCCATTTAAATCCCGAATAACTTATGAAAAGGTATTCAAAAATTTTCAAAAATGGAAGCAATAATTAAAAAACGTGCGAGAAGAAATAAAGTTTTTAACCTATCCTCGCTGTTAAAGTATCATTTAATCTACTATTTTTGATAGATATAAGGCAATTTTAACAGTTATGCTATGAAAAAAAAAATCAAAATTAACTTATTCTCCACCTGGAATATAACATCAAGCGTTTTGCCATTCAAATTCCCCTTAAACTGTTTGAATACATCAATGCTCGATTTGAAATGGACGAATTAGAGCACAGCCCGGGGGAGGCCGATTTTAGAGGCTGTCAAAGCAAACCGTCAAATTCGTGCGTGATTTTGAACGTTATAACACTTAAGTCAATAACGTGTCACTTATGGATAGGGGTCTGCCAATTGAAGGTTAAATATTATTTCGATAAACGTTTTACTCCAATTGAAATATGATAATATGTCCATCTTATGATTTAGTTCCTTTAAAGACGTTTTATAGAGCCAAAGAGATTTATTTATACCGGGTGTTACTAAAAAGTGGCTCGCTCACCTCTATAACTTTTTTATTATTTTTTAGATAAAAAACGAAATTTGGTATGTTAGCATGTGACATAAATTCGGATTGATTGAAGTATTCAATTGTTTTCGGTCATTTCCTGTTTCACCGGAAATTACTACAACTTTTGATTTTTCAATGACACCCTCGATATTTTTTACTTTATTCGATAGAAAATGACATTCTCAATAGAGTGACATATATGTACTTTTGACATTCTCGCTTAATAAAAAATTGTATTTTAAAATTCAATCTAGAGTGCCATGGCTATGTTAAAAACATTAATTCTTAATCAAGGAGCCTTGGAAAAATAGATTTGATCTTCTAATATTTTTAGTGTCTTGTCCTGGCCAGTTAGAAAATGCTCAGATCGTATTTTTAATCATATCTCAATTTTTTTCAAATGGAACGAAGGTGGCTCATTAGCATACTTGGAAAAAAGCATTTTTTACGAATAATTTGATACCACACACTTTCTATTTCGAGTCAAAATTTTGTTACAAACCGCAAGTTATAATTTCAAATAAATTACATGCGAAAATGTCAAAAGTTGACATATGATATGTCATTCTATTGAGAGTGTTATTTTCTATCGAAAAAAGTAAAAAAAATACCGCGGGTGCCATTTAAAAATCAAAAGTTATAGTCATTTCCGGTGAAACAGCCCAAGTAGCATTTGGACGTCATCTAACGTTGGGTATACGTCGCGTTCAATAAACCCGACGTCGGGTACCAACGTTGGTTCGACCGCCTGACGACCCTTATTTGCACCTAAATGGGGAATACAGATTCGGGTCGCCTCGACGTCGGTATCTGACCTAATAGGGAATGTAATTCTACCAATTACCAACGTCATATTACGTTGGATTTTAGTCACTTAAAATTCGTCGCTAAGCACTTACGTTACGTTTGGTTTCATATTCGCTACCAAGAATACATAAAAACCTAACCAAACTACCTAATTACAAATGGATTCATAATCGCTCCTCGAATATAACTATAAGTGCCTACCTAATTTCATATTATAATAATTCTGAATCAGTAATCCAGACATCAGTTTTGTCAACGGAAGTCACTTTTTTGATATATCTGATTAAAATACTCCGGAAAACAACGAGCACCTTCAAAATTAGCTAGATTTATGAAATAAAAATATCTATAAAAAAGTAACTCGCAAAATATTTTTTTAATTTTCTAGCTGGTTTAATCATAAAACTGTACTGTGGTTCCCCCCAAACTCAACGTTATCAATATTATTCTACTAGAAATCGAAATGTGAATATAAATTTTAAAAACAAAAAACGATTTTAAAATGGCTGACAATCGGATACTTGTTAAGAATGGCGGATTTCTGTGT